TCAGTTATCCTTACTGTTAGTTCACCTTCCTCTGTAGTTATTTCCCTCTCCAACACTATTAGTTAGAGCCCTCTCCTCCTCATATTTCCCTATTTTCTACTGTTCATTGTCTAAGTCTGGGGCTGCCTCTGTATCTCAGTACTTAATATTCATGAATCTCACAAGGCCTGCATAAGATACTGTGCATGCAATGCTTAGCTCTGGCTCTCCTTCAAGTGTATATCCACAGCTGCCAACACCACCATCTCACTGGTAGTTGAAACAGTTCCTACCATCACCATTCTTTTTTGGTAGCACCACCTGCTCTTTTAGTAACCTCATTTCCCTTTTTAAAAAAATGAATATTTGAGTGCTTGCATGTATGTGCACTACATGTATGGCTGTTGCTTGAGGAGACCAGGAGATGGTATTGGATGGATCTCCTGACACTGGAGGTATAGATGAGCCACCATTTATGTGGGTGCTAAGGACAAAACCTGGATCCTCTGTGAGGGCAGCAAGTGCTCTTAACTACTGAGATATCTCTTCTTCTCCAACTTCACTACTCTTAATAGGATGATTGTGAGGTTGGTAGTTTGGTGGTGATGTCTGACACATGCTATTAATTTAACTAACTTCTCCACACCACCTTCTTTTAAGCTAGATAGGGAACATACTAGAGTGGCTGACTAGGGGAATGACATTGCAGAAGCAACACCAGTAGAGAAAAGGGAAGGAAGCCACAGAGACCCTGTGATCTTCAGCAGCTCCAGGTACCAGGCTTCCAGCTAGGATGTAAGCTGAGGCAGAACACAGTCAACTTCAGACAGTTCCAGGAACGTGAGTGGGACCTCACCAGACCCAGTAGGTTTCTGTTCTCACAGAGTCAGGGTCATTCCTGTATTTACTGGTATAATCATTATGCCAAACTTCAAGATAAACCCATGATTTTTTTTTTTTACTGCCCCAAACTTTACTTCTTTGATAAGTTTTATGTCATTATTATATCTGAAGAGTTCCCTAAGTATTTTCTCTGGCTCTGGAGAAACAACATCTAAGCTGTAAAATTTTAAAAGTTTATCATAAAATTTTATCCCCTTTTTTTTTTGTTTGTTTGTTTTTGTTTTTTTTCAAGACAGGGTTTCTCTGTGGCTTTGGAGGCTGTCCTGGAACTAGCTCTTGTAGACCAGGCTGGGAAACTCACAGAGATCTACCTGCCTCTGCCTCCCAAGTGCTGGGATTAAAGGTGTGTGCCACCAATGCCTGGCTAAAATTTTATCTTAATTCTTCTTTATTTTTGAATTTTTAATACTTTTGAACATTTACAATCTTTTTTGTTTTTTTATATTTTTCTAAATTAATATGATTCTTGGTTTTTCCAGGATATGTAACACCCAAAGTGTTTGAGTTCATTAAAGGTAGTTGATCACATTCTAATTTGTTTCTGTGGCTTCCCCCAAATAATGACAGCTAAGGAGCTTGTTATTTTCCTTTCAGTCTTTGCCTTCTTAGCAAGTAGAGGGAAGTATCATTGTTTACAAATAAAACAGGATGTCCTTATCTGTCTTTCCTCTCTAATCTGACCAAGTAGCTAGTAGATGATGGAATAGTTTCAACAGTTTCACAAATGAAAGTTCACAGCTAATGGGATGGCTGAGCACATGCCTATATAATAGTCCAATTTCTTCCCTTTCTTAACATTTCAGTGTACATGAAATTCATAAAACAGGAACCAAACTCCTTCTGGTATAGAAATATCAATTCTACTTAAAATATATTTATGTATTTACATATACCATGCTTTTGGTGTTTTGCTTGTATTATGTCTGTGTTCCACATGTGTGCCTGATGGGCCAAAGGAAGGTGTCAGATCCCTTGGATATAGAGATTCAGAAAGTAGCCAGCCACCTTGTGGGTGTTGGGTATCCAACACAAGTTCTTTATGTGTGCAACAAATGCTCTTAACTGCTAAGCCATCCCTCCAGCCCCAGTTCTTACTCTTGACTCCAGTAGAGTACTCTACGTAGTATGTCTTCAAAGGCAGGATATTTGAAAATGCTGAATAATTTAAATCTTAAAAACACTTGGCTGTGGGCTTTTGTTATCATTACAAAATGTATCAGGAAATAGTTTAATGGATATTGGGCTGATTTTTTTTTAATTTTAACTAGTTTCTTACAATAAGATTCCATTATTGTTATTTCTCTTATTTCTTTTTCTGGACAAGTAATATTAAAAAGCACATGAGTTTTATACTAAGAGAATTTGGCAAAAATGTAAGAGATAGTAATTGAGAAACATACATGGTAAGTTCAAGGTGGGTTTGACACAGGATTCTGGGCTCTTTCTGAGAAGAGATGGTCTTCTGCACCTGTGGGGCTGCCGGCACAGGTGGTGAGGCCCAATGGTACTCTGGGCTATAAATGATACACGCTCCACACTTTTTCCTCAGGGGCTATACTATTGTGGAGGATGCCTTCATGAAGCATCAAGTCTCATAAAATCTTTACTCATGAACCAT